GGAGCCCACTGGTCACGAGCATTATATACAGCTTGAAGCCACTCATTTTTCCCCAGATCATATTTATCAAGTACAGAGGTCCAACATGATTCGAAATCCTCAATTGTCTCAGAATAGTTGATGCAGCTATATAGCTCCCCATAAAAGGAAGGATGAGCCATATATATGTGAGCCAATCTTTCCTGCCCTTCTCGTAAGATATGCCACTTACAGATGCAATGACGAGTACCCGGTAATACTAGGTTGACTGCTGCTTTGATAGCTCTATCCTGGTCAGTTGTAATAGAAACTGGAGGGCGGTTATTCATTGAAGATAGCCAGGTCCGGAAAAGCCAAGTAAAGGAAGACTCAGACTCATCTAAGAGTAATCCACAGCCAAACAAAACCATTTGCCCATGATGATTTACTCCAGTGAATGGAGCAAAAGGAACCTGGAATTGATTTGGTCTATACATTGTATCAAAAATAACAGCATCGCCAAAGTGACTATAAGCTATCCTTGATCTTGCATCCGCCCAAAAAGCATTCGTCATGCGGTTTTCATCATCAAGTTGAATAGCATAGTAGAAACCAGGATTTTCCGCTTGCATTTTTTTGAAATAGTCAAGAAGATTATGGGCATCTCTTCCAAGAGTTCTCTTTCGGCTGCAAGGCTGAATAAACATTATTGGTATGACAGGGCTAAAGTTCTTGGTCACACGATTTGACTCCATAGGAGGCGCATCCTTAACACCTTCATTAGAACTGACAAATGCATGATTCCCTTCAACCGGAACCACAACTGGTGGAACCATAATATCAGTTGGAGCTCCAGGTATCTCTCCAACAGTCTTGGAAGCACCAGCAAAGTGTTTACGAGGTCGAAGGTAATGCACCTTGCTAGGATTCACTATTGAATGATTGTGATCCTCAACGAATTTAGTCACAACCCAACCATCTGAACTCTTCCTCTCTATCCGAAGCATAGCATTGCAACTCTCTGTATTCTTCCTTCTGAGAATTTCTTTAGAACAAGAGAAGTCCCAACTAATGATAGGTCCATCAGGCTTAGCGCGGCTGTACTGACCAACATGTATGCTAAAGCCCACACGCCTAGCATATGCGTCAAAAAAATTCTTTGCTGCTTCTTCTGTTTGAAACTCCATCCCCACATATGGCTTCTCTTCCCCATCAACCTCAATGATAGTGTCTCTTTCAGTAAAATTGTCCGGCAAACCCTGTTTGGGATTCTGATTTGGTTCAACAGCTCTTTCCCCACTTTTTTTCCTCTTTTGCCCTTCTATGTCAATTACTTTGTTATTCATCTTGTTGGAGAACTGACATTGACAAATCAATCTATTTCTTCTTGGTCAAAACGTCATCTTTCCATCTCTTATGAAAAGAAACGAACATAGCAGGCCTCAAAATCATATGAACTGGAACAAGGTAACCAGTGACTCAATATATTATAATAATAAATATAAAGAATAAGACAACACTCCAGTTTTAAACACATGAGCATAATCCTTACTCAAAATTTCAAATGGAAATGCATATCAAATGATGTTTAGGATAAATACAAGATAAATTATTATTGTTTAAAACGTAAATATATTCCCCAGTCACCAGAAAGCAGAAAGGTGATAAAGATCTCCCATCATGTTGCCTTCAATAGCAGGTGAAAAGCAGCTGAAAAGGTTAGCAAAATATCAATCAAAACTCAAGTATTTGGGCTTCAGAGGAGGGACTTCTTACATAACTTCTAATACCACAGAGAGAAGAAAACACCCCAGAATAGTATAAAAACAGTTCAATATTTTAAGGAGAGATATAGTATCAAACTCTGATAATTAAGAAACAGAGGAAAATAAAACATATTTGGATAAGGGAATTCAATGTTCAGAGGAAGGAATCAATACCCAAACTCTAATTCCATGAAGAAAAAGAAGAGCATAATATTTTCTAGAATCGGAGGAAGGAAGGATATAAACAGACAAGCTTTAGTGATAATCAAAACATCAAATGGCCTTGGAAGCAAATCTGGAGAATCGAAGTGCCACACAAAGTGGCATGCTTCACCTGGCTTAAATGTTTTCTAGAATAGTGATTTGGAAATGTAGTATCCAGAAGAGAGACACGGTACCCATATTCATACAATATTATATAAAATGTAGGAAGGAAGTTTGTGAATGTTTTGTTTGAAATCCAGAGAAATTACTCAAATTTGCAGCGGCCCAATTTTTTATCAAGCCGTGATCAGTGACCACCACCTAGTGTGTAACTTGACCGAGCAAACCAAAAAATACTAGGTGATTTCTTCCAATCTGTCCCAACCTTGGTTGACATAGTTACATTTGCTGATGAGAGGTAGCTGATTGTTTAAGAGAATTGCTCCAACAATTCCAGTCTATAGCATGAAACTGAAATCATGCTAAGATTATAACAGTTTACAGTTTGTTATGTACTTTCAAGGAGAATCAAAGAGTAAATGTGTAACCTAAAAATTAGATAACCATACAGTTCTGAATATAGCAATGTCTTCAAGTTTCAACAGAAACATTCAGAAAAATAAAACATGGTTAGAATCATGAATCGCAGGTTCAAAACCCACAGACAGCAAAAATACTAGTGATTTCTTCCCGAAGTCAGCACAAGCACTGAGATCATCCGAGTTCCGTTGCTCAAAAACAAAAATTGTTAGCAAATTGGGTTGGGAGTAGATACTAACTATGGAATCAGCATAAAATTTTAGAAAGTGAATGCAATTATATGGAATTGCTAAATCTTAGGAAGAATATAAACCTGAAATTCAGTTCTGAGTTCGAACAAACAGTATGTAGCTTCCTTCAGTAAAAGCTTCCAACATTCTTCAATAGACCCGAATGACTCATACTACGACTACCTTTCAGTGCTCCGGCGCGCCGGCGTTGCTGGGTTTATTGCTGGACGAGTTGAAGAAGCGGTCGGAACTTTTTCTCTGTTTTCTTTCCACTTTCTAATTCTTTTTCTTATGATTTGTTCTTAATTACTCTTATGTTTTCCTGCTAAGTTACTAGTTTTTTTGCCATTATATTTCCAAATATTTTCAAAAATATTATTTGGATGAAAATTTATTATATAAAATTTTTGAAAAATATATTTTACTTTTTCAAAGAAATGTGATTTATATCGTAAGTTTTAAAAACTATGAAAATTAATCGTAGATTTGTATTACATAGCACATGATTTTGTTATTTTAAATAAATTGTTCATCATTTTCATCCATAACTGTATCGTCACTGAATATAAGGAGCGGAGCCAGCCTTTTTTAGAGGGTTCACCCGAATCCATTTTGGCCGAAAATATTACTATTTATAGATTATTAAATTATCTTTTATATATATAGTAGATGTTTAACTCCCTTTTGATAGTTCTAGTTCTTTAGATTTTGAACCCTCTTATTAAAAATTCTAGCTCCGCCACTGCTGAATATTCCATCACTATTTTAATTTTAAATGTAAAGATTGTGTGAAACATCGCAAACAACTACTATAGAGGGTGGTTCTTGTAACAAATAAAAGTTTGGTGTAGAATTAGAATTATTAAAAATTCTCAAATAATAAAACTCGATCCAAATAGTAGTCTTTTTCAGAATTCAGACAATTAGGAATGGCAAGGGAACAATGCGAGGGTAGGGGTGTAGCGGGTTGAGCTTAACCGGAATTTTTTTTTAATCCACACCTTCCCACCCAGCATAACAAATTTTTTTCATTTTTAATCTGCCCCGCTTTTTTTTTAATATTTTTTTTCTAGTTAAGTTTGATATTAAAAATAAAATTCATTACAATAAAAAAAAATTCATTAATTTGTATTAATTTAATGGGATAGTGTGGTAAAAAAATATTTTTAGGGGTCAATTGAAAAAAATATAAGAAAGAGTATTTTTTTATTGAACCATTTTTATATGTTATCTCGAATATTTTAATAGATTTATAGAAATTATCTTTATAAAGCATGCTCTATTACACAACATGTAAAAAGTTAAAATTAAATTTGAACCCATATAAAATTACATATATCCAAATCTGCCCCACCCAACATCAATTTTTTTTAAAAAAATCACTCAACGGTCAACCTGCCACGCAACCCACCCGTCCCGCACAACCTTAAATTCGTTCGTCCTATTGTCATCCCTAAGACAAACATTATTTGACAAAATCAAAATCAAACTAGATAGTATCAATTTTTTAAAATCTAAAACCAAATCAAAGAAAACCTAGCCAAGTAGAATCGATTGATTTAGCTTGGGTTTCCGATTTGGATACATTTCTATTCAAATAGTAAATATCCATATATTTAATATATTTTTAATTTACGATCACAATATTTAAAAATATTTTTTAATTTTCTTAATTTTATATTAAATTAAAATAAGCAAATAAATTAAAACATGAAGAATACATTCTATTTTAACCCTTAAACTTCACTCGTTATTCTTATTAACCATTTAAATACCCCCAAAAAGAAGGGGAAATTTTCACGTTGATTCAATTATTTACTAATTGTAAGAATTTTTCAAGTATAATTCACAGACTTTAGCTCTAACTCTCGATAATTATACTGAAGTGCTGAGTGCATCCTCTTTTTTGTTTTTTGTAATAATTTATCAGAGTTTTAATTTAGTTAATGCAAACTTATTCTGAAATATATTTTTATTACTAAAATAACACTTATTTTAAAATAAATAGAATTTGAATAATACAATATGATTACTAACCAAGAACATTATCGATGAACAAAAATGTTATGTTGCTCGGACTTTTCAAATATGTTAGTGTTAAAAATGCAATATAAGTACTGACAAGGAACATTATCAATGCACAAAAAAGTTATGTTAGCTCAGACTTTTTCGAATATGTCCCTGCATGGCCGTGTATCGAATCCTCCAAAAGTATTGGAGAATTAAATACAAATACGGCAACATTTTTGAAAAAGTCGAGCAATATAGCGGAAAAGCAAGTGTGGCTGGGGATATCAACAGGCAAATGAAACTGAAACCAAGAAAGTTTACTAAGCAACATTTCAGCTAAACAGCAGGAGTTCATATTTGGTGAAACTAATTGAAAAAAGGAGTCACAAGGCCTTCTGCTTGTGTCTCTATATTATCTAGGAAATATTAAAAAGCAACTAAAACTAGGAAGAAGGTTTCCTATCAAACTTATAATTAATATACTTAACACCAAGCTGAGTTCTTACTCCAAACATCTTACATTGTCGAAGATGCCAAACCTCCATCGTCTTTCATGTCGTTAGAAATGGATGTTGTTCTTGACATGGATGATGATGAGGTAGGTGAGATGGACAGATTGTTCCTCACTTCCTCGTTATCAGCTTCAATCCCATCGATGATCATGCTGTCGGAGAATACATTCAGGTTGAACTCATTCTCACTTGATTGCTCATAGAAATCGAAGTCAATGTTGTTGTCAAAGCTGTTGTCGTTGAAAAGATCCATCAAATCGGTTGGTTTATCAAGAGAGAAGTCGGAAACTGGGAGAGAATCAAATGTGTCGTCCAAGTACATGTTCATCCACGGGTAGTCCTCTTCCTCCTCATGATCCTTTGCGTTTATTAAATCAGCAGCAAACTCCAACTTCAGAACTTTTGGTTGAGTCACTTCATCAAAATCAAGTGCAGGCGTAAACTCCAACTTTGGTACTACAATTGGTTCTGCAGCTAATTCTGCTAGCTGATAATCAAATTGGCTTTCCTCTTGTTGAACCGGCTGATACTGTTCGATCACCTCACTTGATTGAACTTCAGCAGAGGACTCTGTGTTTTCCTCCTTTGTTAACAGATCTGGTTCGCGGAGTTTCTTCAAATGGTCTGCATATCTGCTGATGTCGAAGTTGGTCACTGCATTAGGCCCTCTGTACTCAATTGCTGCCATATCATACGCTGCAGCTGCTTCCTCTTGAGTGCCTTCAGTAAAGAAAGAAGTAACAAGGATTATGATATATTCGTTTGTTCATTTCAGATAACGTTATACTGCACTCAACTATACGAGACCTAGTTTGAACCTATGTTTCTCAGACTCTTCAAACACAACGAGAAGTGCATGTCAGATCCTCCAAGAGTAGTGCATTCTTGAAATATCTGACACGGATACAACTTTGAAGAGTCCAAGCAACATAGTTTTGAACTAGTTTGCATTGTCTAATCGCCAAAGCATCAGTAACAACTAACAAGGAAACAAAACGCGACAATATTAAATGCTCTACATTGCACTTGCTCGTTCATATAAAGCAACAAATTATGCCTCAATCGCAAATAAGTTGGGACTATATTACTACTTAACATTCGAAATACACCCCAAGTACCAGTAGTGACAAACTTAAAAATGACTATTACTACTTGTTCAACTCATCAATGTACATTACATGTTTCTCATGAATAAGGTCTCGCGTAAAGAGCATTGAAAATGAAGAAAATCCTAGCATGGTCCGAGTTTAGACTAGTCAGATCAGTGAGTTCCGAATACAAAATGATTTATACTAAAAAACAAAGAGTTGTCCAGTGAGTAATAGTTGGAGATGAGGATGACAAGACACTATGCATCAATCCAAAGGCATAATTGTCTACTAAGATTAAACATAAATTATTCACCCCATTAAGCATGAATCAAGGCTCTGACAATGTCACGAGCCAAGATCTAATACAGTCACATTAAAGAAAATTAAGATAATTACTTATCTTAATCACTATTCAAATCTCTTACTAATTAATACCTCACACTTAACCAAGTACATATCATTCAAAATTAGCTCAATTTAGTCATCTAATTAAACTTAAAAAGATGCCCCCACATAATTTAAGGCCATATTGTATTTACTTAACATACACATAACATAAAGTTAGGACTAAACCCACTAAAAATAAATATAGGGGAATATTTTCAATTTTTATAAAGTTATGAACAGAAAGTCTAACTTTATGTACGGTCCACAAAGATCTGCATCAAATATTTTAATTTTTGGACCACCTCAGCCTTTTAACTTTGATCTCAGTAATAATATATAAAACACCAATGATCATGTGCCATGTCAGCTTTAATCCTATTATAACAATAATAATATTAGACACGTAAAAGTGTTAAATCTTTTCAATTAAGAATTTGAAATTTATAAATGCCTAAAATAATCGAAAGAACTCATTCAAAAAATCAACATTCGAAAATCTAAATAAAACTCAAAGAGATTATAAAGTCGAGAGACTTACTGTAAGTTCCCAGATAGAGATATTTATTTCCATAGACCCGTCCAATTCGAGCCTCCCATCGACCATTATGGTGGTGCCTGTCAATATCATAATATAACGAGACGATAAGTTCTGATTATCAACAAACTGAACTACTAATATTTTCGTGGTCAATTTTCTTTTTTTTGAATCTAATCACATATTTCATCATTTTATTTTTTCATAAAAATAAGTATTACTCATAAACTCCACTCAGCACACAAATAGGACAGTGAATCCAAATGGGACCCACTAAAACTATGTCCTCGTGGGTCCCATAAAGTCATGAAAATCCATAAAATTTGTTTGACTTCCAATAATGTACCGGAATTTCAATTAAAATAAAAAAAATTAAATTTGCATGTGTTTTGTCTCTTTAATACATATAATTACTGAAACTAATTAAATTTAGTAATACTTAGTATATGCTAATTTATAAAAATTAATTAAATAAAATATACCTTGCTACGCCACGATATTTGGAAACACCTCTAGAAAATCCACTGCTCATTCTCCTTAATGAAGCTAAGTACTCTTCCTTTGTTAGCCTCTGCATTTCTTCAAACTCTTTGCTATATCTTTCCACCTGCATTGTTTTGTTGTACGTCACGTTTCATGTCTTGTACACTTTACAGTTATTTTTTTGTCATTTTCCTCCCTTTTTTCCTCCAACACAGACAAAATCCCTAAAAAGAAACACCGCTTCCTTTTTTCTTTTTTTTTTGTTTGACATAAAAAATTTAATTCTAAAATACTTGTTTTTCGTTAATAAAATAATTTACCGTCACACAAACGTAAATTGAGACGGACAGAGTAAGAATCTACCGGAAAATTAAGTAGAGTTGTTGGTCCCCAATACTTAAGGGCAGCAAGATCATAAGTTCTAGCAGCAGCTTCTTCACTATCATAAGCTCCTGTTATAAATAATTAGAAATTAAGTTAGTCAAACAAATAATAAAATATTTTTTTTGTGCATAAAAAGTGTTGTACATCGTGCAAAAACACTAGTACATTTGTAAGAGATTTAGAGCTTACCCAAATAAACTAAGCAGCAAAGAGGCAAGTCGGAGAGAGAGAGAGAGGGGATCATCACCAACAAAGAACAGAGTCAGTAAAAAATTAATTAAATTAAGAGTAATATAATATTACTGTAGATCTTGATTTGTAAAATTTAACTTTTTTTTTTTTTTGAAATCCACATATTAAATAAAAGTAAAAAAAAAAAGAGATAAGAGTATTATTTACTTTGTCTTCCTTTCTTCTTCTGAATGCTATTCCAAGTACTCTTGTCCCATAAATGAGCTTCATATCTTCCTGTCCATCTATGCCTGCAAAGAAAAAAAAATTATTTTATTAATCACATTTGTTCATGCATGCAATCAAAACATACAATTTTGATTTCTGGGTTTCACTTAGATGTGTTTGTTACTCTGTGAAATTTAATTTTAATTGGGTTAAATCAAAAAAAAAAAAATTTAAAAAAAATACCTGGTTACGCCTCTGAAAATAGAGCTTCTTCTAGCTGTAGATGAATTGTTACTTGGTGAATCAGCATTTACAATTTTCTTAGCTCGACTAGCACGTTTCAGTCTGGGCTTGGGTTTCGGTTTCGGTTTGGGCTTCGGCTTCAGGTTAAGCTTCTCTGTTTCTTCATGGATTTGTTCAATGCATGAAGATGAAGAAGAAGAGGAAGAGCAAGAAAAAGATGGAGATTTCTTCATTTTTTTATTTGCACAGGAAAAAAAAATTTCAATTGATAAAAATGGCAATGTGGGTGTTCTGGGTTTTCAATTTTTAGGAGAGAAATGGGAGGGACGGAAAATAGAGATTGGGTTGGTGTTCTGAATTAAGAACAACAAGAAGAAAATAAAGGTTCGTTTTCTTTTCTTCCTTTCAACTATCTTTTCTTATTTTGCTTTTCTGGTAAACCAAAGTGGTTTACCAAATTAAGCATAGACAGAGAAGAAATACATGAATTGCATTTGGGGTGAAATGGAGTTTATAAGATGACCAACACCCACCCACTATGAATTGAGGGTAGGGGGGTAAGTAGGGGGGGTAGGGGGTAATTAATTAACTTTGGTTAATTAAACTTGAGTTAATTAACTTTTAACTATGGACAAATGTAAGTTCAGACTTTCAGTTCAGAAACCATGATGCTATTATGCCAATTGGCCTTTTATTCACTTTCTCCATGGGAATCTTTTTAATAAAATTAAGTTATTTTTTAATTTTTATTTTTTTTTACATTTGAGATTAAACTTGTGGGATTGTCAGTGAAGAATTATGTCTTGTTCTACATATAGAGAAAGAGATGGACGCGTGGTGTGAACTGTGAAGGGGCAGAAGGGGAGATGGTGGTTTTAATGGTGAAAAGTTATAAAAATGGCATTGGTTTTTGTTATAATTAGGACGCACTCCGTGTTAAAATAAGTGTTGTTTTAATAAAAACAAATTGTTAAAGCACTTTTTTTGTGTTAATATTAGTCAAAAAATACAAAATTAATACTGTCATTTAGAAATTCAAGACTACAATAAATATTCTGTTCATGCGTTTTCTTTTGTCATATTTTGACTTAACACACGTGAATTGTCATGGTTGTTTACTACTCTAAAATATCTCTATTAATTGATATTTACGATTAAATTTTAAATAATTAGTAACTAATATCAAGGATAAAATATGAGAAAAAATATTTTTTTTCTTAATATGTTAAAATGCGATTAATAAAAGTGAAAAATATATTTTTGAAATATTAGACAAGTAAAATTGAACAACGTAGTTGATTTTTTTAATTTATTTTTACTTAGTTCAATTTTTGACCTTTTTTACGCCTTAAAAATAATTATCAATATGATTATATTAAGTATTAAGAAATGATTTGAAAAATAATTAATTAATATTAAAAGTAATTTTTTTTAAAAAAAAATTGAATATATAAAAATTGTCAAATAAAAATAAAAATTTATTTTTCAAATATTAAATAAGTAAAATTGAACTGGGTGACGAGTACTCCTTTTATCTATTTTTACTTATTCAAAAGGAGCCATATATAAAAATGACATAATTAAAAAGCCACAGTTGATAAAAATAAATTGAAAATTAAGTAATAAATCATTTTTAAATTTTTTAAAATTACACCCCAAAAAAAAAAAAAAAAAAAACATCCATATTTAGTATAATATACAAAAAAAAACTATAATAAATAACTATGAAAATAATTATTTTCAACTATACTCTTATATTAATGCTCAAATCTTAACAAAAATCTACTAAAAAATAATAAAGATGACCTTAGTAAATTTCACTATATCAGATTTTTTAATATAATAATTTAATATTTTTTAAAAAAGCCACAGTTGATAAAAATATATTGGAAATTAAGTAATAAATTCTTTTTGAATTTTTTTAAAATTACACACACACAAAAAAAACAAATCTATATTTAATATAATAAACAAAAAACCACAATAAATAACTACGAAAATAATTATTTTCAACTATACTCTTATATTAATGATCAATTTTTATCAAAAATCTAACAAGTAATAAATAAAGATGACTTTAGTAAATAATATGTCATATTTATTTCTTTTTCTTAAATGGTGTAAAAAGAGCTTGGGGGTTAATAATTTTATTTAATTTTTTGTTTAGGGAGCAAATAATAAAAACAATAAAAGTAGGTATGGCGACGAAGGAGCATTTTGTTTGAATTCATTTTTGCAGTGTGAAAAGTTCTTCCAAGTGTTCAATTTCCTAGCTGTATCCATGCAAATTATTATTTTTTTATATAAAAAATAATAATTTTAAATAAAAGAAAATTTATGAAAAAGGAAAATTGTAAATAAATCAGTATTTTTTTATTTATTTTTTTGAAAAAAAAAGGGGGGTCTTTTTTAGGAGATTATAATTCAAATGATCCCTTAAATTTGAGAGTATACTCATTTTCTTCGCTAATATATTATTCTAAGCTCATATAATCAATTAAGTTTAAATCTATAAATCACAATAACTAAAAACATAAAATATTTAGCATTCATATAATATATTTGATTGACTCTTGAAGATTTATCAGTGTCATATAAATTTAAATAAAGAGAGTAATATATATTATTTAAAAATAATGTAAAAGATACTATAAATTATAATCATAACAAGTTAAGATATTTAGTTCACTGATTCACTCCGCCAGTTGCTTAAGTGTCACATAAATTAAAATAAATAAAATAACATAAAAGTGTATGCGTGCACGCCTACGTGCGTGCGTGCGTGCACCAGTGTTAACAATCAAAAGTTATTAATAATTATTTTTTTTTACATCAAAACTATCATTTAACTTTTTCATATATCAAAAAGTAACTTTAATTGAATTTGATAAAATTTCTACCTAAAATATGAGAGAAAATAATAAAATTACTCTTTATAGTTAAGGATAGATTCACTATGATCCCTTAAATAGTAATTAATCATGAAAAATATTATCAAAGAGCACTAAAAAATTAAATTTGGTGCTAATGAAAAACACAACGAAAGTGTAAGTCAATTTTAGTTTTAAAAAAATAGCCTGATAAAATATTAAAAAAAAAATACATTAAAGAGTTATATTATAATAACATTAAAAGGAGAATTTTCAGTTGTCTCAAATAAAAGAAGTTCACGTGTTATCCGACAGCACAGAGAATCAATTAAATTGTAAAAAAATTGATGTTAAAGCTTCAGAAACGGCAACAGAATCTATTCAGTCTCGGTAACAAATATGACAGTCATCAGTTGTTTGTCAAGCAGCGTCAAAAATACAACGAAATAGATTAGAAAACGCAATGAAAGTGTAACCTAATTTTTTTTTTTAAATGAGGCTGATAAAATATTTTTTAAAAAATACATTAAAGAGTTATAGAATAATAACATTGAAAGGAGACTCTTCAGTTGTCTGAAATAAAAGAAGTTCACGTGTTATCTGACAGCACAGAGAATCAATTAAGTTGTAAAAAATGATATTAAAGCTCTAGAAACGGCAACAAAATCTATTCATTCTCGGTAACAGACATGACAGTCATCAGTTGTTTGTCAAGCAACGTCTACATAAAAACACAAAGAAATAGATTAAAAAACGCAACGAAAGTGTAACCTAATTTTGATTTAAAAAAATAAAAAATGAGGCAGATAAAATATTTAAAAAATACATTAAAGAGTTATACGATAATAACATTGAGAGAAGATTCTTCAGTTGTCTGAAATAAAAGAAGTTCACGTGTTATCTGACAGCACAGAAAATCAATTAAACTGTAAAAACTGACATTAAGGCTTTAAAAACGACAAGAGAATCTATTCAATCTCGATAACAGACATGACAATCATCAGTTGTTTGTCAAGAAGCATCTACATAAAAACACAATCTAAATAGATAAAAAACACAACAAAAGTGTAACCCTATTTTCATTTTAAAAAAATGAGGCTGATAAGATATATATAAAAAAATACATTAAAGAGTTATACGATAATAACATTGAGAGAAGACTCTTCAGTTGTATGATATAAAAGGAGTTCACGTATTATCTGACAGCATAGAGAATCAATTAAATTGTAAAAAAACTGACGTTAAAACTTTGAAAACGACAATTGAATCTATTCAGTCTCTGTAACAGACATGACAATCATCAGTTGTTTGTCAAGCAACGTCTACATATTCGTTAAATTATTTTAAGTTGACATTGGAAATTGAATTACGATTATTTCACCAAAATAAATAAATATATATGATATTTTGAAGACTCTTGTCGCACATCTTTTCAATAAATTTATTAATTTGATATTATCGTGCGAATAATCAAAAAAAATTAATGTCATATAAAATGAGATTATATTTATTATAGTATTAAATAGATTATGTATCTTTTAAAATTTGAAATCATTTTAAATAGTTTGTGAATCCTTTTGTTGCAATAACTTTTCCTTTAAAAAAAATGAGAAATGTAAAGAGAGAGAAGCTATCAATTGAATGGAAAACAAATAGTAAAAGTATAAACAATTTTTTTAGTCATTACGGTTTTACTTAAATGAATTACATTCATTTTCGTTTTTCATTAAATTAATCTCGTTTTTAATTGATTAAATTAACAAAATGAGATTAAATGAAATATAGAAACCATTTGAACTTTAAATGATCAATTTTGAGAATGTAAACTTTATCAAGTAAATAATCATGATATAATTCTTTTTTATACCCTTGTTTATATTCGATATCTTTATTAGAGTCCGATTGAGTATGAATTCAGACAAAAAGTCTCATATTGGAAGGTGAACTGGTCCCTAATAAAAGCGACTACATATTCAAGACTCAAACTCAAGACCTCTTAATTAAGTACGAAGAAATATTTACTATTCTATCACAATACTTGTTGATCAATTTAAAATTATTTTCATAACAACCTTCGTAAAAATTAAAAAAAAATACAAATTAATAAAAAGGCAGAAAGATACATAAAGGAAAATTAAAATAAATCATTAAAGATTTTTCATAAACAAGTAGAATGTAAAATATATTCACAAGTTAAATTTCATATCCTTAGAAGCCCTTACTTGTTTATTTAAGAGAAAACACAAAAATTTACTTGTTTTGTAAAAACCTAAAGCTTCAAAAGTTTATTACTCTATTATTTCACTATCAATAGAAAAATCAGTATGTGTGATAAAAATTAAATTAAATTATTATAATATTAAATATCATGTAATTTTTTACATTTTTAAACATAAAATATTTTAAATTGTGTGTGTGTTTTTAATTTTTTTTTTTGGGGGGGAGGGGGTGTTTCATCACTAGAGTTCGATTGAATTTGATTTCACGTACGAAAATCCCATTGTAGACAGTAAAATTCGCATGAAATCATAGTTATTGTTTCAAAGTGCGAGCCTTATAAACTCCATGGAATCTGATTTCGTTTTTTTTAAATATACATTTAAGGGCTCTTGAGCTTGATCTTGGAAGAT